TTGTCCACCTGTACCTGGAAATATGACCCGAACTGGAAATAGGATGTTTGCAGATGTAATCGAGTGAAGTTGAAGTCATGGTGGATTAGAGACTGTTAGCTGTCATGGTGACCTTATATACAGCAGAATAAGTTATTGCTTATTCTTGTGTTACCTTATTATTGACAGCATCATTCAAGCCTACTGTTGCAAGTGTTGTTCCAGTCCATGTCACCAGGAGTCTCGCTTATCTTCATCCAACATGATGGCCTCTTCCAATGATGGATCCCTCCTAATGCCTTCTCCAAAGCATGTGAATCAGACAGTGTTCTTTATGATCCATAATATTTCATTGAAAATGTTCAGAAGCAGGTCTCCAGGATTTTCTTTCTAGTCTTCCTCTGAGAGCTCTGCTCCAACCTGTTACCATGGGAAACCCTACTGGTTAGTTGAAAATCTGCTGGCATCCCAACCGCACTGACAGCTGGGTGGTGCTACTGGCTTAGGAAGGCCGGTGAGCCTCCAAAGGGAAGAATCTTACCAACCCCTTGACTTCACACATCCAGCTTCCAAAACTGTCCCCCTGGAGAAAGACAAGGTTTTTCACAGCCTCAGAAATCAGAGGGGTCCTTCTACTCTCCCAGAGGGTCACTGTGCGTCAGAGTTGACTCGCTGGCGGTAAGCTTAGGGTATTTTTGGTTGTTTGGAAAATCCCATTCATTGATGTCCTTATAAGAAGTGGGAGATCTGGAAGCAAGCACACGAGGAGAAGGTTACGTGAAGACAAAGAGATTGATGTGATCTGTAAACTAAGACATGCCAGGGATTCCTGGAAACCAACAGAAGCCAAAGAAAGGAATGGGACATATTCTCCCTCAGATCCTCTAAAGGGAAAGAACCCTATCAACACCTTGACTTCAGACACGGAGCTTCCAAAATGAGAGAGAAGACGTGTCTATTCTTTTAAACCACCCACATGTGTGGCACTGTGTTTGGGCAGTCCGACTTTGAAACTACTACCACACTTGTAAGGAAGCAAGGGAAAGTAGGATTAAGGAAAGGGGAAAAGGTGAAGTGGGATTCAGGTGCAAAAGATGTTTCCACTGATCCAAATGAGAGCTCTGCAGCTGGGATAGGTTTGTCTGACCACAGTCCAGAGCAGGCATCCTCAAACTACGGCCCGTGGGCCACATGCGGCCTACCAAGAACATTTATCCAGCCCACCGGGTATTTTTGCCCCATTTTTTTTAATTTCAAAATAAGATATGTGCAGTGTGCATAGGAATTTGTTCATAGTTTTTTTAAAAACTATAGTCTGGCCCTCCAACGGGTCTGAGGGACAGTGAACTGGCCCTCTGTTTAAAAAGTTTGAGGACCCCTGGTCCAGAGTTGGGCCTTCCGAGCCCTACATCAGCCAACCATTGCATGACAACAGCCCCTTGGCCACAGAGGCTGCCTGTCTCCCTTAGGCTTAACTAAAAACCATCAACAGACAACACTCCTAACAGCTGGGGCCATGAGGGCCTCTAAGCAGTGTATCCTATAGCACCTACTGCAATACATGCTAGACATTCACCACATGACAGCTTAACGTGGAGAGCTGGTTTCTGTGGTTAGATTCAATAACCTAAGCTCCATTTAGAACATGATTTCAACGAGCAAATGCCTATTCTCAACAACTTAACAGAGAACTCTGAGAAGCAACCATTGGCTAGGTAGTAACCATTGTCCTGTCATCTTGGTAGATTTAAAAGATCATTTTCCCCACATATTATGCCTACCCACAAGTATCACCTATGATCAGAAATAGCCCCCACTGCTTCCTTTAAGGATGATGGAGAAATTCAGAAATGGAAGAGAGTGATGGCTGATTAACATGATGAAAGGGGCTGACATGAATGGCAATGTAAGAAAATGTTGAAATGGCAAATGCTATATATTTTTTTGCAATAAGATTAAAAACAGAAGGAAGAAAACTCCCCCTAGAGCTGTTTTCTACTTGGCTTTGACACTACCAGTGGACTTGATGGGCCCACCCCGAATAACAGTCAGAACACTGCCAGATAAAAGCCCCCAGACTGCTTGAAAACGGCCGTTTTCTTTTTGAGAATGATCATCAACTTGGGCAAAAACTACCAGTCTGGTTTCCATCCCCTTCAAGCACTTTAGGAGCTTTATTGTGCTGTTAGTTCACAGTTATTGATCACCCAGAGCAAGCTAAGCTGGAAGCCGACCTAGGATTGGATACAATTCTACCCAGCAAGCATACAACCCAATATATATGAGTTACTTATGACTCTTTCTCTCTGCCCCAAGAAAAAGGCCTTTTCTTTAAAACAAAAAAGTGATTACGTTTTTCCCATGTGGATTTAAGCCTGGTGTTTCATAATTGACTTGCTAGGGCAGGGTCTGGGAAGGCCTCTCCACCTCGCCACAACTAGGGGGCTGCTTGCCGAGTAACGAGGAATATTCGTCTATGTGTGTCAGATATCCGCAGCCCCGGAATATCATGGAAGTCCTTTTGGGAGTAGGGTCAGGCCCCCACAGGGCACACCGGGCATGTGGGAAATCCACCCTGCCCCCCTTCCGCAGAATTAGGACATGACCAGAAGGTTAAAATGAGAAATTCAGGCAGGCTTCCAGTCACTGAGCCTGACTCTAAGCTTATGGAAACGAAACCAATATGCATCCCTTTTTCCAAAAAAATATGATTTCCTTCCTATGCTTCAGAATTCCTGCTTCGGTGGTGCTGCACAGATCATGCTGTGCATGTACAAGCCGCCCTGGTGGTGCAAGGGTTCGAACCCGCCTGGCTCCATCAGAGACAAGAACGAGTGATCTGATCCCACAGAGGTTCACCAGACTAGCCCGAACCCGTTTCTATTAACTAAGAGCGATTCTGTAACACAGTGTAGAACTGTCCCAAAGTAGTTCCAAGAGTCCTTGGAGGTCAGTGGGTGTTGTGTTGGGCTGCTCATCGTCAGGCCAGCAGGAGGAACCACCAGTCTCTGCAGGAGAAAGGTTGAGGCTTGCTGCTCCCCTAAAGCGTTCCAGTCTCAGAATTCCAAGGGGCACTCGAACCTGTGCTCTAGAGGGACTCTGAGTCAGGATCAACTCGATAGCAGTGAGTCTTGAGTCTGAATCTCTACAGAAGGAGGCAGCCACTTGCTTTCTCAGAGAGGCTGGTGGACTTTTGGTTTGGCACCAAGCTGTCAACGCCTGTGTCACAAGGGCTTTCCAGAAAGATCCCAGCCGAGGGAACCCTCTGGGCCAGTTCTACCCTGGTGAGTCAGGATCTCCTAAACAGCACAGCACAACAATGACAACGAACATTTGAAATTTTAAAAGTACAGTTGAGTTCATTTTCTGTGTGTCAGCTTAATAACCATGGCTGTGCGATCTGATTTTATTTCAACTTAGCTCACACTGGAATCAGGCCACCAAGTACTTTTTTTCCCCTTTTCTTTTTTTGGCATTATTTCATTTCTATCTATCTATCAATATTTGAACTGAAATTTCATGTCTTTAAAGACTCCAAGTCCACTCCAGTTTCCTGTTCCTCCTTTTTTGAAGTCACTTAGGCCAGTATTTAGATCCAAGGGGTAAGGGATCTGGAGGTGTTTGTTTTTTTTTCATGAAGCAATCTTTAGTTTTTTATTTTTCATGTTAAATTCTCCATTTTTTGTTCCTCCCCCCTCCCCACCCCGGTTCCCACTCTGATCTCCTTCATTTCTACACTTGATCTAAGCCCAAAGGCCCAGAAGCGATCGATCTCATTCATTTCCATTTCTGTTTTTATCCTGGTCGTTTAATAATGGTGTGGCCAGTCTTGCTCATGTGATTTCACCAGATCACGTGGGTGTAGTGCATCTCTGTCTGCTGTCGAGCTTTTGGTCTCCTTATTTTGAGTCTACCCTGCTTACAACGAGTCCAAATGGCACCTTAACACCACCACCACTCTGGAAAGGGTTGGGTACCATCATGTTGGATCCAATCCATAGCAACCCTACGCACAACAGAACAAAACATTGTTCCATCCTGCAGCATCCTCACAACTGTCACTGTACTTGAGCCCATTGTTGCAGCCACTGTGCCAATGCATCTTCTTGAGGGTCTTCCTCTCCTTTGCTGCCCCTCTACTGAACATGATGTCTTTCTCCTGGGACTGGTCTCCCCTGAGAATATGTCCAAGGTATATAAGACAAAGTCTCACCGTCCTTGTCTCTACAGAGTACTCTGGCCTTATTTCTTCAAAGACACATCTGTTAGTCCTTTGAATAGTCTATAGCACTTTCAATATTCTTCTCCAGCACCATAATTCCACATCTAGTCTTCTTCCATCTTCCTTATTCAATGTCCAACTTTCCCATGCCTCTGAGGCATTTAAAAATATCATAGATTTGGTCAGGCACACCTTAGTCCTCAAAGTAACACCCTGATTTTCAATACTATAAAGAGGTCTTGTGCAGCAGATTGATCTAATGCAACATGTCTTTTGATCTCTTGATTGCTGCGTCCATGAACATTGATTGGGAATCCAAGCAAGACAAAATCTTTAACAACTTCAACCTATTCTCCATTTATCATGATGTTGCCAATTAGTCCAGTTGTGAGGATTTGGGTCTTCATTACATTGAGTCATAATCCACACTGAAGGATTGATCTTGCAACCCTTGATCTTCAGCAAGGGGTTCAAGTCCTCCTCACTTTCAGCAAGCAAGGTTGTGTCATCTGCATATTGCAGGTTGTTAATAAGGTCTCCTCCAATTTTTTTTTTCTCTCTTTTCTATTTTAAATTTCCTTAAAAAAATAATTTTATTGGGGGCTCATACAACTTTTACCACAATCCATTCATTCATCTATTGTGTCAAGCACTTTTGTACATTTGTTGCCATCATCATTTTCTAAACATTTTTTTTCTACTTGAGCCCTTGGTATCAGCTCCTCATTTTTTCCCTCCCTTTTCCTCCCTCCCTCCCTCATGAACCCTTGCTAATTTATAAATTATTATTATTTTTTCCTGCCCGTGTGTTTGTGTTTGTTTAATTAGTGGACAAACACTCAAAGACGGGTGCAAGAATAAATCCTCTTTTGCAACCCAAAACTCATTGTGCAGCATGAGTTTTGATACAGATCAGAAGGGACACGTCATTAAACCAGTCACGAGAGCACAGTGTCTGACAGTGTGGACACTTCCCAGGACTTGCTTTTGAGATGCTTCAGATGAAACACAAACCAGGGCCCTCGAGGGAATAACAGACTTTTCAGACATGAAATGTTTGACATTTGTCCATAATGGAGGTTAAAGTGGTGTAACCAGAAGAATTGACGGATCTGAGATTAATGCCTACTGGACAACAGTGGCCCCTTAAAAAGGGCTATCTTGAATATGAACTTTTACAAGATTTAGAGGAACTGCTGGATGACAAAGATATGTAAAACTCCTTAAGTAAAATTGATTAACATTAAATAAAATCTATAAAACAAACAAACAAAAAATTTTTTTTTCATGTCTTATACTGTCTGATGTCTCCCTTCATCCTCTTTTCTGTTGTCCGTCCCCCTGGGAGGGGGTTATAGGTAGATCATCTCCTCCCATTTTGATGCCACATTCTTTCGATATAATCCAACTTCGCTGATGATTTGCTCAGCATACAGATTGAATACATAAATATGGTGAGAGACTATGACCCTGATGCACACCTTTCTTTATGTTAAACTATGCAGTATGTTCTTGTTCCATTTGCACGACTGTGTCTTGATCCGTGTACTAGTTCCACATGCGCATAAGGAAGTGTTCTAGAATTCCGATTCTTTTAAAAGTTAATTGTAATTTGTAATGGTCCACACAGTCAAATGCTTTGGCATAGTCAATGAAATGCAAGTAAACATCTTTCGGTATCCTCTGCTTTTAGCCAAGATCCCTCTGACATCAGCAATGATATCCTTTGTTCCACACCCTCTTCTGAATCTGGCCTGAACCTCTATCAGTTCTCTATCAGTGTACTTCTGCAACTGTTGGATTATCTTCAGCAAAGTGTTACTTGCATGTGGTATCAATGATGTTGTTCTGTAGTTTGAGCATTCTGTTGGGCCATCTTTCTTTGAAATGGATGCAAATATGGGTCTCTTCCAGTCAGTTGGCCAAGTATTTGTCTTCCAAATTTCCTGACATAAATAAGTGCTTCCAGTGCTTTATCAGCTTGTTGAAACATTTCAATTGGTATTCCATCAATTCCTGGACTCTTGTTTTTGTCTAATGCTTTTAGTGTAGCTTGAACTTTTTCCTTCAGCACCATTGGCTCTTGCTCATATGCTATCTCCTGAAATGATGGGATGTTGACTTGTTCTTTTTGGTACAGCGACTGTGTATTCTTTCCACCTTCTCTTGATTCTTCCTGCATCATTCAGTAGTTTGCCTATAGAATCTTTCAAGTTTGCAACTCGAGGCTTGAATTTTTTCTTGAGTTCTTCCTTTTGGGTTTTCTAACTCTAGGTCTTTGCCCATTTCGTTTTAATATTTGACTTTGTCTTCTTCAGCTGTCCTTTGAAATTTTCTATTCAGTGATTTGGCTTCATCATTTCTTCTATTTGCTTTAACTACTCTATGATAAAGCGCA